CCGGCTCTAGCACTTAAGATATGGCTGCAGCGTAGGGCCTGCAGCTTCCCCAAAAACAAAATTGATTTTTTTTTTTTTTATCATCTCTTCAATGTCAAATTCATCTCAATAAAAAAACAACTCCACCCTTCCATTATAGTCTTTACAATTCTTTATGACAACAACATATATGTCATTACACTACCTTTTATTTTACATACTTTGTGTCTATATGAATAATAATAGAGATATATTGTGTAATAATAATATAAGTGTCTATATAAATAATAACAGCTCCTTGGACTTGATTTTCGTATGTCTTATGTGGGATGGCTCTTGACTGTGAAACTTGGTTTTTTAAGTGGCTTGGCTGGGCTTACAATAGTGCTCCCTGGGCAGCTAATTGCACATTGTGTTTTTATTTGAATTTGTATGATGAGGCTTTCTGGATTTGATTTTCTGATGGCTTTTTGTGGAATGGCTTTTTACTGTGAAGCTTTGTTTATTAGGTGGCTTGGCTTGGCTTGGCTTAAAAGGGTCTTTGTAGTTCTTCTTTGTATATGACGGGTCTGCATGCATTTCTCAGTTTTGGCACGCTTCTTTTAGAGGAATTAAGATCCTGACATGCACTGGATGTCTCAGTTGAAGTAGTTGAGACTTGAGAGTAGGTTGGTTTCTGCATGCTAATGAAAGGAGAGGAGGAGTACGTTTTTAAGCTGTTATAGCTAGGCATTTAATGCACGTTCAGGCTGGCATGTTGCTGCCAGTGTGCTGTACTTTTTTTTCTTGGGTGGGAAATATAGAGACGAAGTGAGGGGGCTGATTTGTTAGTTTAGTTCTGACTTTACTAGGTGTTCTGTTGGAATTTCTTTTTAAGAACTCGCTCTTAACAGTCACTTTTGTGTTTCGTTTTGTGACATCCAGCTGCTTGCTTCTTATCAGCATGGCAGGCATAAATTTTTCTTCACCCCCGCCCCCCCCACCAAAATAAAAAATAAAAAAATTCAATTGAAAGTAAATAGACCCATAATTTGAGCCCTGCTTTTGGATACTGGCTGGTCACTTTTTCTCGGGTGTTCTGCTAGGACAGAGGTGAGTTTTTTGAGATCATTCTCTTCTCTTCCTCAGCTTTGGTTTCCAAATTCCAATCAATATTTAAACTTGGTACAGAGAGGGTTGTTTACACATCTCAATACTTATTTCCAGCCTTCTACTTTTAAATTATGGTCAATCACATGTGAAAGCCAAATTTGTTCATTATCCTTCTACTGCACTTTTAACATTTAGCTCCTTTTAGTTATCTTTAATTTTTTTCTTACGCATGTTGCATTTTCCTTTGTGGTCCTTCTCTGCATTTTGATTCCTTTTGACTATTGACTTTGCTTTCCTTTTCCCCTTAAGTTTGAAAAATAACTTTTCCTATTTTCTTTTAAAAGGCTATGTTTTGATGCTCAAATCCAAAGGATTTTACATGTTGTTTTCAGTCAAATGGGTTGCGTTGTCTTTGCTTTTGGTGAGCTATCATTTGTAGCATTGTTCATTGTCCATTTTTTTGTTAGTATCGTAGTTAAAGTTTAGATTGTGCTGTCCCTGCTAAAAAGTCCTGCCTGGACTGGTGTAATAGGTTGTTTAAGGTGAGACATTTGAGGTTGATTGATGCTTCTGTTTGTGGTTTTTTCATCTTGAATTTAGGTGCGAATTTGGCTGATACGTTGATTTATACATCTGAAAATATTTCTTTTACATGTTGTTTTATCCTTTGTAGGCCTTTTTAGAATCTTTAATCCAGTAGACTATTGGCTTTGCTATCCACTTTCAAGGTATGTTTGACAGGGTATTTTCATGTCTTA